CTATGACAGTCTCCACCATGCCTGTTCTCCAGAGGAACACAGATCCTGGGTGAGTGTTGGAACCTCATGTTGGAAGAGCAACAGCAGAGATCATTCAGTTGATGACTTAGTGATGACTTAGTGATGAAGCAGATGCACAGATTGGCTGCGTAGCTCTGAGGGAGCTTTCCTCTGGACGATTAGATTAATCAAACTCTGTCCTCAGCAAGAGACAAAACCTACCCCTAAAAAGCAAAACCAAAAACCAAAAACCCACAACCTTTCTTCTCAAAACATACACTGTTTTTGTTCAGCTATATAATAATGCAAATGGGCTATGAAACATCTCAAAGCCACTAACAGCAGAATGAAATCAATTTAAACCAATTTAAAACAGCAGGTGTCAGGTGCCACAACTAAAATGGCCCTGCCTTGGTATTCTCTCCCACTCCTTCCTCTCTACATCTGATGACAGGATGATCCAGGTGGAGCATGGTGGAATATTCTCCAAACCAGGCAGGGTAGCAGTTCTGGGCATTTTAAAAAATCTTGCCACATAGCATTTCCTTGATCCATCTGCATTTACCAATTGTATCTACTAGACTTATTCCTTGTCTGACAGGAAGCCAGCATTGCTTACAGTAGTACTTTCTTTTGGCATGGAATAAATAACAGGTGATGTGCGAGTAGTTGTTGATTCCTGGTATCATTTTAGTTGGATGCATTGAGCAGTACTGGTTGGCAGAGCTGAGGAATGCAGTGACAGCAGCTGGTGCTACCCTCCCTTCTTCATGCAGTTGGAGGTGGTTGGAGGATGGATGGTGGCTAACAGATTGAGGTTGAATCCTGACAAAACAGAAGTACTATTTTGGGGGGACAGGGGCTGGTGGGTGTGGGGGACTCCCTGGTCCTGCATGGGGTAACTGTGCCCCTGAAGGACCAGATGCGCAGCCTGGGAGTCATTTTGGAGTCACAACTGTCCATGGAGGCGCAGGTTAATTCTGTGTCCAGGTCAGCTGTCTATCAGCTCCATCTGGTACGCAGGCCAAGACCCTACCTGCCCGCGGACTGTCTCACCAGAGTGGTGCATGGTCTAGTTATCTCTCGCTTCGACTACTGCAATGCACTCTATGTGAGGCTACCTTTGAAGGTGACCTGGAAACTACAACTAATCCAGAATGCTGCAGCTAGACTGGTGACTGGGAGCAGCTGCCAAGACCACATGACACCCGTCTTGAAAGACCTACATTGGTTCCCAGTACGTTTCCGAGCACAATTCAGTGTTGGTGCTGACCTTTAAAGCCCTAAACGGCCTTGGTCCTGTATACCTGAAGGAGTGTCTCCACCCCCATTGTTCTGCCTAGATGCTGAGGTCCAGCGCCGAGGGCCTTCTGGCAGTTCCCTCCCTGCGAGAAGTGAGGTTGCAGGGAACCAGGCAGAGGGCCTTCTCGGTAGTGGCGCCCACCCTGTGGAATGCCCTCCCATCAGATTTCAAGGAAATAAGCAACTATCTGACTTTTAGAAGACATCTGATGGCAGCCCTGTTTAGGGAAGTTTAGTATTTTAAATATTTTGTTGGAAGCCGCCGAACTCTACGCTAAACTGCCCATTTCTCCCGCATGAAGGGAGAAAAATGTCTTTTTAAACAGTTTGGACAGTTAACCATAAGATCAAAAACAAAATAACAGGTAAAAATGCATCAAGCTACACCTACTGTCAAGACTGTTTCCCTACCAAAGCAGATTCCAACCCCTCTAGGTTCAGCTTCTTCTATTACTGGAGTCCCTCTGGCCTCTTCTGATTTCCGTTTTCTTCTCCAACTCTCCTTGTCAACTTTATTTATGTACCTTCCAAACTTCTGCCAAATCAGAAGAGTAGTAGAGCTCTGTTTAGATTTCTGGTTGGCACAGTGTCTTGGTTTCTCTTCTCTCCTTTTCCCCCTCCCAAGATTTCATTTCCCCCTCCAGGTTCTGGTTTTTGTTGTTGTTTGAACCATTGACCATCCAGCAGAGACCAACCTCTAACATCAAGCAACCATTTCAGAACCCCCAAAAGTGGCCGAAGCAATTCATTCCATCACAGCGATGATGTCAGAGCATGCCTCTAGTTTATCCGAATGTCACAGGGAGACCCTGGGAGGAAGTGTGGGTCAGGATATGAGGCCACACGTTTAGGGTGACCTAAAGCCTTTTCGTTCTCATCAGGGGCCGACGTGTCAAATGGAGGCACATAAAACTGTAAACGACAGCAGAGGAATGACAATCAGTTGGCAGGAGATAAATATATGCTACATAGCGTGATTGGGAGGAGAGGGAGAATGAGTTTGCGTTGACATGACATTTTTTTTAGCACAATGAATTTTATACAAATAAACGAGCCTTTGGGAGGAAGCATGGGGACCGCTTGTAGGGGCTTTTTGCAGTTAGGTGGGTTGGAATGACAGGAGCCCCCATTTTATAGAATTGCAGAGAATACTCTCCTAGACTCAGTTTTCTCCCTCTCTTCCCCAAGCCCCTCTTCACCCCACTGTTACCATGACAGGCTGCTATTCAGCTGGAAGCAGATGCGCGAGGCGAGGACTTAGGTGGGCTGAGGGAAGAAAGGAACGAGGAGCAGAGCGTTGTCTTGTCATGGTAATAAAAGGGATGGAGGCAGCAGCAGCACACTCCATAAAGAGAAAAGTTGGCGTTGTCCCCACCTCAAATATAAAAGTCATATTCCTGAGAAAACTGTATTAAGAATGTAAAAGAAAGGTGAAAAACCTTTCATCCAGCTGACTCCGTAGAGAAATCCCTTGCTAAAGAATGGATAAATAAAGGCATTTGCCCTTAGCTATTCTAGCATGAAAGGAACGTCTTATGAATACTTAGCAGATTAATGAGACAGAGGACTCGTAAATATGTCAGGAAAAATGAACACTGCGCTGGCAATGAAATAGATGCCTCATTGGGATGCAAACTCATATTAATGGGGCAGGTGTTCTGCGGGAGGCTGCCCTGATAGCGAGGTGGACTGCATAGCCGGACCGGTGTGTCCTTGGTGTCTAGGTTATGGGATGCAGTGAATCTCCAGAAGGTCACTACTCCACCGTGTAGCAGAACAAGGGAGGAGGGGGTGTTCTGCCAGACAGAGGTGGCTGGCACAAAACAGGATATCTGAAGCTGTAGGCAGTGTGATGTTTTTCACTGCTGAGGCTCCCTTGCTTGGCCAACATCTTGACTGACCAAGCAAGCCTCTGGAACAGAGGTGGGGGACCTCAGCCCCCAAGGCCTAAGGGCAGCCCTCCAGGATTCTGTATTTGCCCCTTGGAAATTTCCCCAGGCCATACACCCCTCACCAAACTTGTTTCATGCCTTCCCTGAGAATTTTTGCTGGCTGGAGTGTGTTCTTGAACTCTGATAATGCCTCTCGCTTCTCAGGATAGAAAGGGGCCTGTAAGTGTTGACGTTAGTGAAGCGAAATTACAGCTAAGAAGCTCGAATCATATATATGACTGACACCCTTCTTTGGAAATTAAACCAATGTCCAGACTTTAACTTTACTTGCAGAAACTTATAGATGAATTAAACCATAATATTTACAATCACATGCTTGTCCAAGCGTAGGCTTATAGTCTCTTCTTCTAACTTCCAAACAACTGTATTTTTTCCTCTCTTTCCAGAGCTCAACCTTCTGTATCTCAAATAGGCCATGCCTTGTAGCTCCTAGAAGAGATTTCCGCTTTTACCTTCTCCTGCAGTTTTGTTCTCTTTCTTTCAGGCAGAGAAGAAGCACTCCAACACTCTACTCAACTTAAAAGTGTTCGTAGTGGATTCTAAAACACAGTCCTCTTGCTTCACATAAAATGTAGCCTCTCCTTCACCAGGAACCTCCCATGCGATCAACATTAGCCAACCACATGAGAACTACTGGAGAACTCTCTTGAGTTATGAACCCATCAAATTTAAACACATAGTAATGCATACAAGCATTTACAAATTCAGTGAATTAACTTACTATACTTATGTTTATGTAGCAAGTGCCCTATTGTACAAAGGTAAAATTTACATTTGTCGCTCCACCCACTTTTGCCTCTAGCTCCACCCACCAGTGGAGTGTGGCCCTTGGAAGGTTTCCCAGAAAGGGATTTGGCCCTCAGGCTACAAATAGTTCTTCACCCCTGCCGTAGAAGCTGAATCTCTGTAGCCATCTTTGGACATCACCACCACTCAGTTCAGCTTGTTAAAAGGACCGATAAGCAACACCTAGTGATAGTAAGACGCGACAAGGGAAATTGCACTTCTCCAAACTGCTGTAATGTCCAGGTGGTCATTTTTCACTTCATTGCACCTTCCACATGAACTTAGCACACAAGAGCTGGCCAGATATGCATTGCAGTAGAGTTGCAGCAAATCAGATTCCTATCGCGGAACAAAGCGGGGATGAAGTGAAGGTAGGTGTGCCCTCGAAGCAGCAAAATAAAGTGGTTTCCCAGATCAAGGAGTGAAGATGAATAGCAGTTGGTTTTTTGTTTTGGTTTTTTTGCGTTGCCCTATGACAGTGGGTTAAACGACAGAGCCTAGAGCTTGCTGTTCAGAAGGTTGCTGGTTCAAATCCCCGCGACGGAGTGAGCTCCCATTGTTCGGTCCCAGCTCCTGCCCACCTAGCAGTTCGAAAGCACGCCAGTGCAAGTAGATAAATAGGTACCACTCCGGCGGGAAGGTGAATGGCGTTTCCGTGTGCTGCTCTGGTTTGCCAGAAGCGGCTTAGTCATGCTGGCCACATGACCTGTACGCCGGCTCCCTTGGCCAATAAAGCGAGATGAGCGCTGCAACCCCAGAGTCGGCCACGACTGGACCTAATGGTCAGGGGTCCCTTTACCTTTACCTTATGACAGTTGACTCAAATCAGCATTTGCGTAACCTAATGTGGTCAGTGTTGTCTTCTGTGTCCTGCTTGTAAACAGGCCCTCCCCTCTCCCTTTTCCAGAGATGATTGGCATTGGAGCTGGGGGCAGGCTGTGTTTGTGAGGACCACCTTGGACACAGCTCAGTTGGTTAGAGCGTTGTGCTGATAATGCCAAGGATACAGGTTTGATCCCTTTATAGTACAGCTGTATATTCCTAAATTGCAAGGGGTTGAACTAGATGAGCCTCAGGTTCCCTTCCAACCAGTGCTGGATTCATGTATAAGCTAAACAAGCTATAGCTTAGGGTCCCACTCTCTTGGGGGCCCCCAAAAAATGTAAAGAAAAAAAACCTGGACGTACATTTCCAAAATAAGATAAGTTCAACAATTACTTTGATAAAATACATATTTTGTTATGTGCAAATAGATACCTATTAGGTCCATAAATATGGGGACGCGAGTGGCGCTGTGGTCTAAACCACAGAACCTAGGGCTTGCCGATCAGAAGGATGGCAGTTCAAATCCCCATGACAGGGTGAGCGCCCATTGTTCGGTCCCTGCTCCTGCCCACCTATCAGTTTAAAAGCACGTCAAAGTGCAAGTAGATAAATAGGTACCGCTCCAGCGGGAAGGTAAATGGCGTTTCTGTGTGCTGCTCTGGTTCACCAGAAGCAGCTTAGTCATGCTGGCCACATGACCCGGAAGCTGTCTGCGGACAAACTCCGGCTCCCTCGGTCTATAGAGCGAGATGAGTGCCGCAACCCCAGAGTCATCCATGACGGGACCTAACGGTCAGGGGTACCTTTACCTTTACCTTTTAGGTCCATAAATTACCATATAGCATATATTCAACACAAAAACAGAGACAATTTGTTGCTGACAAAGGACAGCTGGACATATAAAGGGCCCCATTAGCTTCAGTAGCTTAGGGCCTCATCAAACCTAAATCCGGCCCTGCTTCCGATTCTATGATTCATTTGGAAGTTGCTGCTGTCACTCAGTCTAATGCCTCCTTACTCTTCTGTCAGGTTGGGATACCTACATAGAAACTGATCTAAGAACTAGTCTTTATGGAATGACTGCTGCTGGAATTACTTCCAGTTTGTGATGGTGGCAGCACCACACCTGTTGGCTGCAAGCGGGGGACGGGCAGTATAAAAGGAGAGTTCCTGGATGCCAAGAGCCAGGTTTGGGACAAGTACTCATTGATGAGAGAATCCCAGAAGAGATTTAAAATCACAAAATATGCAGAAAATTAAAGCATGGAAATATAGGCTGTGCAGTGATGGCCTAGCACATGGTGAATAACTGCCTGCAACCTATGGGTTTGCTGCATAGGGTGACTGCTTTGGCGAAGCACATCTCATGTACAATGGCAGTCCTCACAGCACTCTCTTAGCGTAAACTTTCCTCCACCACTGTAGCACTTTGAGAATTGCAAGCTAAATGGGGCACAAGCCTATTTATTTGTTTATTTTGGTGGCAGGAAGAGCTGTTTCCTGTGTTTCATCTGAGTCCATTTTCCCTTATTTAGTAGGAGACTAAGTGGAAAGTTTATGGCTCTTGAGATCTCCTTGGGAGGCATCTGGAAGAAAGCACTTTCGTTTCAAAGCATTTTCAAAAAAGCATTATGAGAGGATACACACTGTTGGCAAAATGTTCCAAGTCCATTTAAACTGCTTTAACGGCCTGGGCCTTAATTTGCAGTGCCATATCTTCCTGGAGTGCCAAAATAAACGTTCCTTCCAACATCCTTCTTAAATTGTGCTGCCCAGAATTGGAGACAGCATTCCAGGTACAGTCTGATCAAGGCAGAATTGAGTGTTACTATTACTTCCCTTGATCTGGACACTATATTTCTGTTGATGCAACCTAGAATAGCATTAGGTTTTTTGCTGCTGCTGCGTCACACTGTTGACTCATGTCAGGCTTGTGGTCCACCAAGACCCCTAGATCCTTTTGTGCATCTGGTTCTTCCTGCCTAAGTGCAGAACCTAACATTTGTCCCAATTGAAATTAATTTTGTTAGCTTGGTCCTAGTTCTCCAATCCAGTCATTTTGAATTCTTTCTGCCTTCTGCAGCATTAGCTACCCCTCCAAGTTTGGTGTCATCTGCAAATTTGATGAGCATCCCCTCAATGCCTTCATCCAAGTCATTTATAAAGATGTTGAACAACAATGGGTCCATGACGGAACCCTGTAGCACCCCATCTTCCACTTTTTTCCAGGATGACGAGGAACCATTAATAAGGACTCTTTGGGTTCGGTCAGTCAACTAGCTACAAATCACCCTAACAAGTACCTTATTCAACCCACATTTTATCAACTTTCTCACAAGAATATCACAGAGGACTTTGTTAAAACACTATTGAAATTAAGATACACTATGTCAACAGCATCCCCCTGATCCACCAAGTTTGCAACTCCATTAAAAAAAGGAGAGATTTGCCTGGCATGACTTATTTTTGAAAAGTCCACGATGGGAGTTCCAAAATTTAGGGGCTGCCACAGAGAAAGCCCTATTCTGGATTGCCATTCCCCACATTTCTGAGGGTGACAGAACTACCAAGAGAGCTCCTCTGCCATTTTTAACACCCTTTGTACTGTCCCCTTCCACTTTCCTAAATATCTGCTTGTTTTATTTGGACTTCTGTCTCATGCTCCAAAATGACGATATTGGTTTTTAAAAAATCATTTGGCATTTATGTAATATAGATTTTTTAAAAACCCCTACTGATAGATTCCCCCTTCCCCCGCATTTTTTTTTTCTGCACACAAATACCATAAGAAATTAAAATGTACATGAATCAAATAAAGTTCATGGTAGAAAGATGAAAACAAATGTGCCTTTGACATCTCAAGCTTACTGTTCCATTTTCCTGTAAATCTATCAAAATTTGTGTCAGTATGATTCCTTCAGAAATAAGTTAACTTGGACATAACAGCAATATTCCATATTTTCAAAGAGAAAGGGGGGGAGTGTCAGCCTTTACCGATAACTTGATGTGCAGGTTTTAGCTACTGTTGGAAGATGGATTTGCTAATTCTAAACCTGTCTCTAACACTATAACAACTGATGGAGCTTCATTACTGTGTCTGTGCTATCCCAAAGGCCCCAGTTCAATTGGACCTCTGCTGTTACACTCCTAGAGTGAAAATGAGTCTTCCAAAGAGCAGCACCAGCACCAGTGTAGCTTTGCTCTTCAATTTATACCAGGAGTTGAAAAAACAAGAGAAAGCTTCTCAACCCCATGGTCCACCCCCAGGCAGTTGTGGTTGGTGCTCATCAGGACTTTGTAGGGTGGGAGGCAAGGGTTGTTGTTGTTTAGTCGTTTAGTCGTGTCTGACTGTTTGTGACCCCATGGACCAGAGCACGCCAGGTACCCCTGTCTTCCACTGCCTCCCACAGTTTGGTCAAACTCATGCTGGTAGCCTCGAGAACACTGTCCAACCATCTCGTCCTCTGCCGTCCCCTTCTCCTTGTGCCCTCCATCTTTCCCAACATCAGGGTCTTTTCCAGGGAGTCTTCTCTTCTCATGAGGTGGCCAAAGTCTTGGAGCCTCAGCTTCAGGATCTGTCCTTCCAGTGAGCACTCAGGGCTGATTTCCTTAAGAATGGATAGGTTTGATTTTCTTGCAGTCCGTGGGACTCTCAAGAGTCTCCTCCAGCACCATAATTCAAAAACATCAATTCTTCGGCGATCAGCCTTCTTTATGGTCCAGCTCAAGGGTAGGTGGAGTCCGTGCCAATGAGAGGTTGAATCCACTCATTCTAGCTTTGTCCCATTCCTCCTTCATGCTGGGTTCTACAAGGGCAAAACTGAGAAGGATGCTGACAGCCAGAGTTACCCCTAGGACTGGTTGCAAGTAAGAAGGCAGGTGGGCTTGGAGGGATCAAGTCTCAGGTTTGCAGAACAGGGCCCCATTTATCCCAATGGACCAGTCTCCACTGAGCTAAAGTTCAGAGAGCAGGGGGACGCAGTCATCTCCTGGTGTCTTGGTTTGCCATTGACTGCTAGGTTCACTGAAGGCAAAGGAATATCCAGTAGTTTGGTGGACTCATTTCTGCACATCTCCTAGAACTTCTGTGGTCCAGCAATGTATTTTTGAATTACAAATTCAGAGGACATACTCAGTCTCTGTTTTAAGAGTTGAGACATAACTCACCTGTTTTCTGTGATCCAGAATATGCACTTAAGATAGTAAGAAATGCAGTCCAAACCTTTTGTCTTTTTTACAACTCCCAGAAATTGGCCAATAGTCTATTGATGGACCACAGCTTACCTCCTGTCCACCCTTGTTCTGGAGAAACAATTGCTAGGTCAGTTTGGGCCATAAGACAAAGTTCCAATATGCATCGAGGTGAACATCAGATCCAGAAGAAAGGACTGGGAAAAGTCTACCCCAAGTATCACCATGGCTTGTCAGCCAAGGCCACAAACATCCAACGAAGGAATTTAGACAAATGTTTTAACTGAGCATGGATGGCTTATCCACCTCTATGGCGCCTTCGGTATGTTTGTCACTATAGGGTACAATGTATGCACATATGAGGATTCCTTGAACTGAGTTGGACTATTGAACCATCTAGCCAACTAGTGCCTTCTCTGATTGACAGTGGCCCTTCAAAGCTTTGACTGGAGGCCTTCTCCAGTCCTGTCACCTCCGATCCTTGTAATGGGTTCTGCTCAACTGAGCAGCCTTTTATATAGGCAAAGAAATGGGGCACGAGTAGGTAGGAATAGGCAAATTGATCAGTTTGAGTTTCTATCAGTTTCTCATTTTCCCAGTCTTAAATTTGGTTCATTTCCACCTACATTTGAGTCTATATTTAAAGAGTCTGTATGAAGATTTGCATGCATTCCCACACATGTTTCTCCTAATGTATGCATTTTTCTACATAATCTTGTGCAGCATATGTATTTGTGTACATCATTTTCACTCCTCTATGTGTGCTCATAGGGACGCAGGTGGTGCTGTGGGTTAAACCACAGAGCCTAGGACTTGCTGATCAGAAGGTTGGCGGTTCGAATCCCCGTGATGTGGTGAGCTCCGGTTGCTTGGTCCCTGCTCCTGCCAACCTGGCAGTTTGAAAGCACATCAAAGTGCAAGTAGATAAATAGGTACCGCTCCGACGGGAAGGTAAACGGCATTTCCGTGTGCTGCTCTGGTTCACCAGAACTGGCTTAGTCATGCTGGCCACATGACCCA